AGCACCCACATCTTCCTCTCTTAATTTATATTTTTGAACACCCACATCTTCCTCTCTTAACTTATATTTTTGAGCACCCACATCTCTCTCTCTTAACTTGTATTTTTTGAGCACCCACATCTTCCTTCTTAACTTGTATTTTTGAGTAGTACATAAGTGGAACTAAGTACTGAAATGAAGTAATGAAAAACTCTCTGAAAACTATGTGCAATTCAAACAAAATCGATAAGAAATATATTTTCTCTTCCTACCAAACTATCCAAATAAATACGGCAAAAATAATAGGAAAGATTTCACACCTTTACCTAAACGTTTTCTTCACAATGTAAATATAGCAAGGAAAAATAGTGCGTGATGAAACCGCTATGTAGGTCTGCGTATGACTGCATACGTATCTCCTATTGTCAAAGACAGCAAGGTATGTAGATACAATCATATACACAAATGCCTGCTTAATACTACCCATTTAATAGACATTTTGTTAAATTATACTTAATATTTGTTACAAAAAGATACTTGAATTTTAAATAAACGTTTAGGCTTTTATATGACCGTATATGATATTAAAAATGTTTTTTTTAAAATAATTTTTAACAGGGTGATTCCGGAGGCCCTCTGGTGATAGAAGATAATGGAAGTTGGGTATTACTGGGCGTGGTTGCATTCGGTTATAAATGCGCTGAACCTGATTTTCCTGGTGTTTATACAAGTGTTACTAACTACCTGGAGTGGATCGCTGCCAACACGGAACTAGGAAAATAATTAGCTTTTATGTCGTGGTTGTTTACTAATCTGTGTAGTTTTGTTTGCTAGAAAAACATTGTTATTATCATTTATACTTTACTTAACCAGATAATCTTGTTTAAAGTTCCGGGAAGACACTATCTGTGGTTACACTTATAAATGAAATTAAACTTTCTAAGGTAGTTCTTCATAAAAATCAAATTTTCTTGGCATCAATTTATTGCGTTATTTTAATATAAGTAACAATGTAAACTTTATATCTTATTATAAAATTGTTCATAAATACAGTATCAAGAAGATAGCTTGCTCTACCATTAAAAATAAAATATCTTTAAGGAAAATCTATCTTCACACTATCCGATTATTTATTTAATCAGTTTGGTATTGTTATTATATTATCTTAAAACCTGCATTATACTAAAAGTACTGATTAAACGTTATTATATTTATGATTTGTTAGCAAATCTTAATCAACAGCTTAATAATGGGCTTTTATGTATGTTGGATTAGTAAACAATAAACTATAAAAAAAATCATTATATCGTACGGAATGAAATGTTATGTGTTAAAGAGGATAAGTAAGTTTAAGAACTTTCAGGGAGAGAGAGAACGTCTATCTAGAATTTTCACTGGCTAATATATGTATGTAGAAAAGGAGTACTTGAACAGTCAAGCAAAAATTAACATCACAAAGGAGGACCGCGTTAAAAAGAGCAAATCTAAACCTGCGTTGAAAGACATTTTCATCAACAAAACAGACTAAAACATACCGACAAAAACAAACAAACAAACGAAATTGAAGACGCTGCATAAATCCAAAGGAACCCCATGGTACAGGCTATAACGTGCCCTGGTTTTGGAGGCAAATGAGGAAGTAGGACCCATATTGCGGTGGGGATACACAGTCTACCAGTATTAACTTCTGTCTCCCACGTTGAAGAAAACAAAATCCAAATAATAATAATAATCATAAAAAAATACAAGTTAATAGAGGAAGATGTGGGTGCTCAAAAATACAAGTTAAGAGAGGAAGATGTGGGTGGTTACTTAGATATTAACATCATGAAGAGTTTTAACTTATGTACTAGGTTATTTAGATATTAACATCACGAAGAGTTTTAACTTATGTACTAGTTACTTAGATATTAACATCATGAAGAGTTTTAACTTATGTACTAGTTATTTAGATATTAACATCATGAAGAGTTTTAACTCATGTACTAGTTATTTAGACATTAACATCATGAAGA